CACCACTCTGTTGGTGGTCATGCTGTGCTTGGCAGCCCACATACTAAAAAATAGAGGAAGATTGGCCCGGACGTTAGCTCAGGGCAAATCTTCCTCAGGAAAAAAAAAAAAATCTGTAAAGAAAACTTGGGAGAGAAACCAGGAATGTCAGGCAAGTCAAGCAAGCCACGTTTGAGAAGGGAGAAACTATGACAGAAACGAAAATACTACCTAACACACCCAGAGACCCAAGAGTTGGGTATTTCCACTCTCTCTCTCTCTTATTCCTACGTTAGAGCATTAAAGCACTGGAAGGCCCCCAGGGTAATATAAAACTGAAAGAGATGGCTCCATATTTAGGAGAGATGTGTAAGGACATATTTCCTCAAGCACCAAGGTTTTCAATATATTTCTCCATTTGCCTGTTATCAGGATTTACTTTTTTCCTTTTTTGCATTTTTCCACTTCAAGCTTTTAATTTAACTCTTAGATCACAGCTAAAAGTCCCACGTGAAGAATAGAGAAGGACAGGGGCTGGCCCCGTGGCCGAGTGGTTAAGTTCGCGCGCTCCGCTGCAGGCGGCCCAGTGTTTCGTTAGTTCGAATCCTGGGCGCGGACATGGCACTACTCATCAGACCACGCTGAGGCAGCGTCCCACATGCCACAACTAGAAGAACCCACAACGAATGAAGAATACACAACTATGTACCGGGGGGCTTTGGGGAGAAAAAGGAAAAAATAAAATCTTTAAAAAAAAAAAAAAAAAAAGAATAGAGAAGGACAAAATCAAGCAAAAAGCCATGAGTAGGTTACGAGGCTGCAGTCACTAGAATGTGTGCTTGCGTCATGAGCACGGCATCATTGGACATTCCCCCTTCCTTGCCCTCTGCTCTCTTCAGCCTAAGGTGTCTGAAGCTGGGAACGTTTAAAACTTGCCACTCCTGGCACCCAGTCAGCCTGTTCTTCCCATAAATAAACACAAGCACATCGACTCAAACTTCATGCCTGAGAGAGAGCTCTATAAAGCATTCAGACTCTAATGAGTGATTTTCTCTTTCTTCAAACAATCAACACCCAAAAATACCCAAAAGACTCTATTTCCAACAGTGATTGCATGTGGTTTTGTGGTGTGGTTGTTGAGTTTTTTGGCAGGAGTGTAGAGATGCGCTATCACAATAGATGTATAACAGCCTGAAATATCAGCACAGATTCTATACTGCAAAGACAGAACTGACTTTTTTACGTCCAAAGCCATTACTGAGTAATCACATTTTATATCATACTAATATTATATATAAAAATATTTTC